GAGAGAGAGAGAGAGAGAGAGAGAGAGAGAGAGAGAGAGAGAGAGAGAGAGAAATTGTATTTGTGGGGCAAAGAAGAAATAATTATATTTCCAAAACATATTTATCCTAATATGTAGCCCTGAACGATGCTGCTTAGATATAACAAACCCTCCTCATTCTTTGCCATGCTTGCATTCTACACCGCCGGACTATCTATGCCAAATGGTCATTTTTCTCACATTTATTATGTTAACAGGATAAATGCCAACATTTGTCAACATCTTGTAAATAATGAGTCTTAATGAGGCAAGCTACTGTTTCCCTCCTCAGAGGAATTTCATAGCAGAATAAGCAAAATATCAGGTCAAAGCAAGTGGGAGGGGATCCCGGAGTGCAAACCTTTCTGCAAACATATATTCCTGGAGGTTTTACCCAGAGTGGATTCTAGGAGCTAGGCCAACTTGGCCTAAACCTGTAGAAAACATTTTAATTGTATTTTAAACAAATCCTTCAAACTGAGATTCACATGAAAATTCAAGGCAAAAATAAAGAAAGGTTTAACTGTGAGTGGAATCAGAAAACAGAAAGAGGATGATTTTTCTGGATTTGGAAGTGTTGCCAAAAGCCAATGGATATAAGAGTTTTGATATTAGAAAGAAATACACACTGGAGTAAATCCAACGAGTTGGGGATGAGACTGCCTCACTCTAGAATAAATAATCCAAGGAAAGTTTTATGGGGCACATGTGCTAGACACAGAAGTAGAAAACGTGGCATTTACAATCAGAAGTTTATAGGAGGATGGCTAATGCCTCAGGTTTCAAGTTGAAAAGTTTTAATTTGTGTTTAAATCCTGACTCTCGTAATTACAGGCTAATATACTGTATGCATGGCTTCATTTCCCTCAGTCTGGATCTCTAGTTGTTGACGAGGGACAATAATATGTACAATAAAAAGTGTTTCAATAATCAGATAAGGTGACACACAGAATGTTTGGCAAGTGCAGTTATTGCCTTGAACATATTGCATCTTGTTATATTGAATAACATCATCTCTGGTAGTAAAATAAAGAGCAAATGACTACTGTCCTATATAAAAATAAGAATTATTTTATTGCATTGTGTGCACATATGTGTAAGTGTGTATGTATGTGTGTGTGTGTGTGTGCATGTGTGTGTGTGCGTGCACGCATACTGAGAGAACAGAGATTCCCATGTAAACCTTGAATCTTTAAACAACAATGAATAAGCATTCTGATTCGTTATTGAGCACTTCCCCCTAGCAATAATTTTTGGGCGGTATTCTAAATAGACTTTACAGTATTGCTAGGAATAACGGCAAAACATTTATTCTATGTTCCAGTTCTCTTCGGATTGAGATGGCTGCTGCTGTTCTAGAACTGTCCATGCCTCAGGTGAGGAGAAGAAACATGGCAACTTCAAATACAAGCTTCTTTGAGTTCCTGTGAGCCCATGAGATTGTCTTATGTCCACCCTTCTTCTGAATCAGAACTTGGAAAGGCTTCCTCTAGCTCTTCCTCAGACATTGTCTTTAGGGTGCTGATGAGAGCTGAGCCATATGTTTTCTGGTGCTCTATATTCCTTAACCTCCAGCAGCTCTCAGCTTATGGATCACAACTCCTTTGGAGGAGGGTCACTTATCACATATCCTACATATTAGATATTTATATTAAGATGCACAAAAGCAGCAAAATTGCAGTTATGAAGTAGCAACAAAATAATTTTATGGTTGGGGTTCACCACAGCATGAGGAACTGTATTAAAGGGTTGCACCATTGGGAAAGTTGAGAACCACTGCCTTACTCTTTGTCTGAAGTCCTCTTTTTCTATTCACCATGCAACTGAATTTTAGCCACATGGCTGACCTAACTCAAAAAGCATTGCTCTCTCTCTCTCTCTCTCTCTCTCTCTCTCTCTCTCTGTTTCTCTCTGTCTCTGTCTCTCTCTCCTTCTTTCTCTGTCTCTGTGCCTGTGTGTCTCTGTCTCTGTCTCTGTCTCTCTCTCTCTTTCCTATGAGTTGATAATAAAATTCTTTCGAACTAAAATAACTGAACTTTCTCAGCAATCACAATGGATCACATATATCACTTGCCAACTACTAATTTGTGTTTTGTGATAAACTAAGTATTTTGCCATCACAAACAGAATCATAGCTGTTAGTAATACTGTAAGAAATTGATCATCTAGAAAGTAATTAAACACATTCATCTGGGTGTATTAGGTGAGAGATAGAAGGCCATCGGAAAAGAACAGAAACAAGTGTATATGAGTGTCCCTAAAGCAAGAGAGAAAATGACATTCAAGGCCTGTTGACTGGGACTTCTAACAAAAAAAAAAAAAAAGAAAAAGAAAAGATTAATTGGAAATCTGTGATGCTGAAGCAATTGTTATCTTTATCTTTAGATGTACTTTACAAATAATCCCTCTGGTAAAACACTGAAAAATGGAAGGTGTAGATAACTGGGTATTCTTAGGAATGGTATGGGTTTAGCTTTGGCGCATGGAACATGAAAAGCTCATTAGTGCTTCTATTAGAGTTTTCCAAAAACTGTTCTGCAAACATAAGTCTAAAGGCCATTGAGATATTGGGAAGGTTAAGTTAAAGGCCATATAAAGATCAGATTGTAGGCGATGGTTCTGCAATAGAAATCACCAAGGCAGTGAGAATGGAAAAAGAGTACAGAAGAGAATAGACAGACTCCACAAGATAAGTAGAGAAAAGGTGATTAAGAATAGCAGTGTGCATATGTGTGGCAAGGCTGTTCCCTGGAACAAGGAAATGTCTGAGAAAGAAGTGGAAAGGAGGCTGTAAGGAAATAATGGATGGGAAAGGAAGTAATGAGAAAGCCAGAAAAACCATGCCATTGAAGATGAGAGAGGCAGCCAGGATGGGTAACTATGACCAAGATTTGAGGTTTAAAAACCATCAGATATTTTTGAGTACTTACTGTGCATCAGACCTTATAAGTCAGGATTCAGTAGACCTTTCCATAAAGATGCTGTTGTGGTTCCAGGCAGCGCAAGCTCTGCTCCATTAGGGAGGTCAGTGGACTATCAGCCACAGACAGCATATGAAGGGATAAGGATGCTGAGTTGTAGGAAAGTTTGACCTACAAAGTCAGGCAATAGCTGGTTGATGTTTGCTGAGCCATGTTTCTCTATATGTTCCATCAATGAAGACAGTCAAGCTGGATCTAATCTATGATGTGATTTTATCACCACTTGACCAAGAACCAGAGACTTCAAGGCATCCTTGTAAGACAAGAGGACTTGCAAGATATGGAAGTGTACTTTGGTCCTGAGCAACTGGCTCTATAGCTTATATTTTCTATATCAATAAGTTATAACTCTTTAGCCATGAAGGCCTTTGGTACCACAGAAGGGACAAGATTTAAGGCAGTGCCCCAAGGTCATTCTGTAGTTGCTATTGGGAAAGGAAAGAACCTTGGACTCCACAGCAGTCCAAGAAATGAAAAGAAGGTATCTATAGAGAAAGAACATGGCTTCTAAAACAAACAAAGGGAAAAAAACAGAAATGCTACTCTGTATATATTTAAATGATAAACAGAAGAATGACAAAGAAGAGATCACATATAACGTCTCAGGTGCCACAAGAGGGCAATTCTGAGATTCATCCCAAGTGTCTATGAAAGGCACACACACCTTCATGCTGGGTTTGGTGGAAGAGGGGTGATAAAGCTCAGGCTATATTTCCATTCTCTTTCCTGGAGAGAACAATTAATAAGAACAGAGAAGCAAAGTTCATCAAAGAACAAATTAGGAAAGAAACACCTCTGTCACCAAAGTGAGTCACCATCTGTGTGACACACAGGTTAGAAAATGTGGAAACTGGCACAGGCCTGAGGTAGACACATGGGTGAACAAGAACACTTGGGAATGGAAAACCACAGCCCTGGAAGAAGCAGGCCACATCTTTGTAGTCAGAAGTTTTCTTGTGTCCTGCCCAATCCTGCAGCTGCTCAAACCCAAGTGAACACACAGAGACTTATATTAAGTATGAACTGAAAAAAACTAATGGCTCAGGCTTCTCTCTAGCTAGTTATTATAACTTAACCCCTTTCTATTAATCTATAAGATGCCAGGTGGCTGTGGCATTACCAGTCTGCTGGCATCTTGCTTCTCCTTCAGTGGTTACTGGCGTCTCTTCAGACGCTACCTTTTTCTTTCTCATCTCTCTCCTTGGATTTCTTGCCTACCTCTAAGCTGCTTTGCCATAGGCCAAAGCAGCTTATTTATTAACCAATTGGAACAACATATATTCACAGCATGAAGAAAGACATTCCACAGCACATCTTCTTTCATTTGGCCATTTAAATGGAATTGTTGATGAGCCCAGTTGTGTAAGAGGCTGGATTAGGCCATGGGAATAGTCTACTTTGAGCAAGTTGGAACAGTTTTGTAGGTGAGCCCACAGAACTGAAAGAGAGAAGGGAATGCACCATGTCACAAGAAGTCCTTAAAAATGTTGAATGGCCATGGTCAGCCAACTGTGTTCTTCTAGTGCCATTACATGTCCACAAGCACAAACATGAACACAAACATCCACAATCCAAATACATGTTTTATATTCTTTTTCTTTTTGGAGAATCAGAGAATGCAAATTTCCTTCTTGACTAATTTTGCTTCCCTGGTCTAAACATTCTTGCTCCTTGGACTTAATCTCTTTGTTTTTAGTCCTCACCTTCTTTAAAAGGTGTGGCAAAATGAATTTTGACTATGTCCTGAAACTATTCTGCCTTCAAAAGATGTCAGCTGTCTTGGGAGATAACAACCAAATGGATATGTCTGGGGTTCTGACAGTGAGTAGATGGCATTTTTAAAAGTATACAGTCTTCTAAAGTCAATTATTTTGGAAATGATAGCAGTAATTTCATGTTCCAGTTCTGTGTTATATTAGTAGCAGAGACCATACATCTCTTAAGGAACCTTTGTTTTACCTTCCTTCTTGGAAGAGTTTTCAGCCACTGCAGCAGTCATAAGAAGATCACTGGTGATGGGAGGAAGATTCCATGAAGAGTAATGTGGTGTAGCAAACTGAGCTGACAGCCAGTGACCTGCAGCCACAGAGCAGGTGGAAGAGGAGTCAGTCTTCCTCCCTGTATCCTCCTGTTGATCCCTTCCTGAAGGTTCCTTATTGAAAGTACTCTGCAGAACAGTGTTGTAAAGGGTTTCCAAGATAAGTTCCTGGTACCCCCGAGTCATTCCAACTATATACCCTTCACTTGAAGAATCAGAGAATCACCACACATATTGATTATAGATGCAGCTTCAGAACTACTCCCATGAGATATCATCCATGAAATAATAACAGAATATAAAACTCTAGAAAAGTGATTCTCACATCTCTTCCTAATACTGGGGCCCTTTAATACAGTTCCTCATGTTGTGGTGACCCCAAAACATAAAATTAGTTTGATTCTACTTCCTAACTGTAATTTTGCTGCTGTTATAAGTCATAATGTAAATAGTTTTTGAAGGTAAAGGTTTGCCAAAGGGGTCATGACCCATAGGTTGAAAAACACTGCTATAAAATTTAACATCTTTCACTTGAATCCAATCTTGACAAATTAGAAAATACAAAAGTAGACATGGTCAAATAAACAGGCTGTGATAAGAATATGGGAGTTACCCTAAACAATACATTAGCTGCCTTATTCCTTGTGTCCTTTGTTGATCTTAAAGCCCTTATGGAGAAGAAATTATGCCAAAATTACACCACATCAGTGTTTCCAAAGTCTGTCTTTCCAAAAATGAACACTTGTCACAGAGGCCTATTGGAATGAGCAGAAAGTATAAAAGGTGACTCGAGCATGATTTTATTCTTATTATCACAGAGGTACTAAGGGTTTCATTAAACATCTTTTATTTGCACTTTCAGAATATTGCAAACTTTCCTTGGCCTTTTATGCTCTGAGTGCAATGACTCTTAATGCCCAAGATAACTAAGTCATTATTGTTCCCGTGAAGAAGAAAATGAGTTTGGAGGTTAGCTCATTTCAGTTCCATGTTAGCAAGTTCTAGTTAGCTCATTTCAGTTCGTGTGTGCTTGTATAAATTCTGTAGAAGGGGAAGGAAATGGGTGATGAAAGCAGTGATCACTGAGCAAAAGAGAAGCCCATATTGGTTAAAAGAAGTAGAAGAGGATAAAGGTGAAATAAATTAATATTGTATGACTCACAAAGAAACTATGTTTGACAATGTCAGTCTTGCTGAAGTTGTTGAGATACAAGAATTCAAATGTGGTTAATGACAATGTAATCAACTACAAGCACTTTAAAGGACACTTTGGACAAAATCAATTTTATACAAAAAGGAGCATATCAAGAAACTTCACAATTCCAAAGAGGGACATCTTGAGATAAGAGATATCAGAAATAGCATGAATAATCATTGTCCTTGTCAAGAACACCTGTCTTTGTCTTAAGTATTCAGGAAAAATTATGCCAGAGAAGGCCACTCATCTCATGGTGATCAGGATGCTATAATAGGGAACATGACAGGGAGGGCCAAGGTCTCCATATCACCTTCAAGGGCATGCTCCAATTATCTAACCTCCACCAGGACTCACTTTCACCTTGTTACTTTGAAGATTCTATTTTGATTTTCATTGATGCATATTTGTACATGTGAGTGTATGCCACATGTGTGTGAGTATATGTGGAGGCTAAAAGTGGGCATCAGACTCTCTGGAGCTGTGTATGTGAGCCCCCCAATGTGAATGTAAGGGAACTGATTGCTGTTCTTCTGGAGGAGCAGCAAGTATATTTAACCACTGGGCCATCTCTCCAGACTCAATCTTCCTCCTTCTTATGAAGGCCACAGACTAGAGACTAAGTGTTTGACACCAGTGTCCTCCTTGAACATTTAATGGTCAATCTAGAGCCTGGAGAGGTGGCTGGGTGGTTAAGAACACTTACTGCTATTGAAGAGGACCAAGGATTATTACTTAGCACCCACAGGAAGGCTCACAACCATCCATAACACTGATTCCAGAGAATATGATGCCTTCTTCTGGCTTCTGCAGGTACCAGACACATAAAAAGTGCACATTCATACATGCAGGCAAAACACTCATACACATAAAATAAAAAATAATAATTATCTTTAAAAGTCAAACTGGAATACACACAATAGACAATAACCATAACAGCCATGATGGGTTCTGCCATATCTTGAGTTCTGTTTGCAGTGACTGAATACTTCCTACCCCTTTAGCCCACACATATGGCAAGTACTATTATCACCTCCATTACAGAGATGAGGAGAACGAAAGTCAAGAAAAACACCTTTCCCAGGGTAACGTATCAGAAAACGGTTGAATTGGCTTAAAAGTAGGTGGATGGCTCCAGGCTCTTGCACTCTTAACATCTAACCTCTGTACCTAAAATGCAAGAACTCTAGGTACATTCTATAGACAAAAATCCTGTGCCAGGATCCAGCATTATGCAATTGCCAGAGGTACGTCATAAGAAAGCATGGTTAAAACCTGGACTCTAAATGGAAGAAACCAGTAATAAAAAGAATAGTGCATGAAAGCAATCAATCTTTCTAAAACTCATATATTCAACTTCTTAGTACAAACATGCAAGTAAATACTAAGTAGTTTACACTTGAGACTTAACAAGAATGTCTTATTGTTCTCTGGGAAAGGATAGTCTTTCTGCATTCTCTTATTTACAAAAAAAAAATTACACCACTTTAAGAAAGTATGTTCAAGCTATATCTCTAGTTCATTTTCTAAGCTATTGTATTAAGTGGGCTTTTGCAAAACACTTAGCTGAGGGAAGGAACAAACACACAGATATCAATAACATACTCATATCCTCTTGGCTGATTTCTTGTGTTGCTCTGTGCCCTCAACTATTGTATGCAATTTCCATTGACGTTACAGAGAAAATTCTAAGCAAATTGGCTTCTTGAAGGTAGAGGGGGAAAGGCTAGAAGAAGATACTTTGCTAACAAAAGAAGGAACGTAAAATTAAAAGTGAGATGTGCAAAAACCATGCTACCCAGAGGAAGCTGCAAGGTAATGGAAGCCAGAGGATCTTCAGATGGGTCAAGGCTGCTTCCTTTCAGAAGATGGCATGTTCTATCATCTGATGAGAGGAATATATTTGCTCCTATCCATAATCACTTGCTGAAATGCCTAAGACCAGAGGATCTGGATGAACAGAGACAACACTGAGATGGATGCTGAACAGCGTCAGGAAGGGAAGCTAGACAGCTCCATAGCTCACCTCACTCTGCAGGCCAAAGATAGACCTTTTGTGAGTTATAGGTGCTGGCAAGGGACATGGTGACTTTCCATTAGTCCATGGTTGTAATTCCAATAGTGTATGGGTAAAGGGCCTATATTAAAAACAAAATGAGATTTTTTTAAGATAAATCGCTTAAGAATCACTTTTAAAATGTGACATAAAAAAATAAAAGAAAATGTGACATGAGACAGAATTAAATAAATGTGTGTGCAGGCTCCCATGCCATCCCTCTGACTTGGTTTCTTGTCTCAGGAAAATTCGACAGTAGCCCCCTGATGCTTTTTGATGGTTGAGAGTGGTGAAGAAGGGCATCCGCAGCTGCAGCTCAAACTGGAGAGAAAGGGGCCTTTGAAAGCCAGTAAGATGACGAGCATGCATTAGACCAAATGATAGCATTTAGACCAAGTAAAGAGTGAACGGAATTAATGGCCCATATCCCTTCTTCTGAAGGGATTAGGGATTCTTTAATTGACTAGCCAGAATGTTAACCTTTCTTTATATCCGTCAGGGGTATGGTCTAGTTTTTAGTTTGGCACTTCAGTGTCCTTGTCAATGGTTTTGGTATAAAGAAATGCAGAACTTTTAATTAGATAGAGGAGTTAGTAGTTCTCTGTGGTTTCTCTTACCATTTGCATCATATACTTTTTCCTGGTAAACTCTTTACTCATGCTAAACTTACTGTAATAATCCTGTAAATTCTTTGTCCATTTCAGTGACAGTGATACTGGCGTAGGTGCCGTCGCAATGATAATAACTTCAATCATATTTGTTTAAAAGCAAGAAATTTTGATAAAATTCAAAGAGTATCTTTAAAGTCCTTCAGGAAGGACACATCTGTTGCCACAACTATCTTCATGCTGGGAGATGTGCCTTGGTGTCTTTGCAGTGGTTTTTCAACACAAATCTTGCACATTTTTTTTTCTAAAACAGGCTTTAAGATACTCTTAAGAAGACCGATGTATAGTAAACCCCTGAGAAGCATCTCAGAATGTTTAAAGATGAGGTTTGTTAAGTGCTATGTTACCACCAACATTTTAACTATATCTTATTTTACTATATTGGTTATTGTATTTTTTAGGAGGTAATGTAACTGCTAAGTGTTGGTCATATGGATGATTTTTGTGATTTTTGAGCAACTCTGTATCCCTTGACTGAGGTCGCTCTTCAATGCTACTAAAACCGCTTCACTCGCTGTTTGCTATATCACTACCTCTGAAACAATAGCTCCTATAACCCGAGCACATGGAGTGTTAGCCCAGGCTCACCCTTCCACCTCAACGCAACACTATGCCCAGTATCACACAATACTTTTATCTCCCACAAGATTTTAACGTGTAAGAGAAAAAGAAGAGGAAATGGCTTCCCAGGAAGGTTTTGAAAGGAGGTTGCAGAGTGCCTTCCATTTTGCTACCTGTCTTGCATGGGAGGGTAATGGACGTTTTATTAATAGCAGAAGTTTGGATTGCAGAAAATCATCATCAACTTTTCAATATGCCTAGAGAAAAAAATTTCACTGTGAGTGTACCCTGCACTCCACTTCCTTGTGTAACCTCTAATAATGTTGAGCACAGATCTTCCTTCCAGGTAAGGGAATGATACCCATTTTGTTTGTCATTGCATCCTCGAATGGCATCTTATATATTAAAAAAGAAGATAATTAAATCTATATGAAGTAAATGTGTTTAAATGGGAATGGCCTTGAACTGTCAGTCACCCAATCCGTCACGAAAAATCCAAAGTGAATACCCAGGAAGCATGCACATAAGCATTTATGGGTAATTGAAAGTGTACTTTTCTTTAATTAATGATATATTAAACTCTACCTATTTCTCTCTCACTACTTCTCTCTGGCAGATTTATGAATGATTTAGTGATGGTAAGTGAAAGGTTTTTTTATTTATTTATTTTAAGCAAAACAACAAAGGCAATTTGGATAATGTTACTATAATGCAGTCATTTTTGTATCAGTTTTGGAACACAAGAGTCCCTCTTGCCTCTTGAGAGTCTGTACTCTCCTTTATACAGCATTTCCATTGCAATATCTATTCTTCCCTGGTATGAATACACCCGGTATTCGTCTTTGTCTCTATTTAAAATATGATTTGTGTGCGGATGACCTAGCAAGCATGA